ACCCAGTTCTATACAAGCATTCCTCTTAAACTCACACGATCTCAAAATCAAAGATTGCACTTCTGGTTTTTATTATATTCAATCGAAGTTCAGAACATCGATTCCCTTGGGCAACACGACACTGCCATTATATAGCACATACACTAACGGCCAAACTTCGGCCCAAAACTATAGGATCAGAACTGATAATTAAGCGGAAAATAATATAAGAAACAGGAAACTATTATTCTACAAAGAGTTAATGAAAGTAACGTGTTAAAACTATTAACTGTGCCATGTAAAATCCCTACTGCCAACGCACAAATTAAACCTTTTATTGACCGTCAACAAGAAATACACAGGGGGATGTTTCGAAATGGACACAGCGAATGGTAAATGTATAGACACGTGATTTCGAATGCGCGGAGGGTTAATTGAACCGCAAAAGGGACGAAGAGGAAACAAATTCATTGTGGCCAGGAGGGGTCACGGTGCCGGTCAGAAAAAAGGACGAAGCCGAGGCAAGTGCACCGAGGACATCCGGGGGGATGACGTCGCCGCTGCTGGTGTACTCGGCCACGATGACGTCCAGCGGCTGCACGTGTATATCGTCCGTCGCTCGTGAAATGTAGATCGACGGTGATTTACTTATCAAGAATCGACGCTTCGCCGGAGGTAAATGGTCGAGTCGTGACCATTAGTCCACGGGACTGGTCAGTCCGTACGGGTATACCGAAGGAGGGCCCAGTGTGCGCGCGAATCGAGTGGCGAGGGAGTACGCTAATATCCGCGCCGTGTGAGGCCCCTCCACGGGCCCAACACGATGTTCCTGTCTCTCTGCCAACCGAGAGATATTCAACCCCCCTTTCGCGAACCTTTAAATTATTTCGCCCAGTCGATCTGCTCGAGACAATCGGGGAATTACGATGTACGAGAACTGGTTGATATTTTCATTCCTGTCCGCGATTGAGGGGCGAGATTCTGAGTTATGAGTAAAGATTCTTGTATGGGAACTCGAGGGCACTGAATGCACGGTTTAAGATGTTGCATGTAAGTGTTCATCGTTGAGCTTCGTGTATTTTGAATGGAGTAGCCATCGATCTTCAGATCCGAGTTTAACCCTCATCCGTCCCTTGTGTCAATTTGATACATTCTTCTTCGAGGGAATGATAATACTCTGTCACCGTGTAGGTGATTTTAGTAGAGGCTGCGCGACTTTCATTTTGAAGAATTTGAACATTTAACTATGTATCTATTTATTGTATTAATTTCTTAGCACTGGGATGATTCGACACCGACGGACAAACTAAGTTGGGAAAATGAGGGACTGACGAGAGTTAAGTCTTTGGGGACCGACACTAAACCTCTCGTTTAGGCGACGTCGGTCCCTCGGTAGCAAGTTTAAACAATAATATGTACTTTATCATTCATATAATATTGAAAAATATCTTCACAAATTTTTAATGGATTTTATGGGAGTACTTTAAAGTAAAAAGTTACAACTTTTTTAGTACAATTTCTAGTTGTATATATTCGACTAAATGGAAAGTGAAACAATATAAGCCTGCGTTTAAAGTGATAAGAGGAGTCACGGGAGTCTTTTTTGTAACAGAAATGTCCTTGCTTCTCCCGTCTTTCTTGACGATCCATGGAGATTAATGTAATGTCAGAGAGTAATGCAGTGTCCAGTTTCCGGAGTACGTCGCACAATTTCAATAACAATCCCCGCAACTGTGTCAGCTCGTTAAAATCCGCCAGGAATAGTCGGTCCACGCTTGTCAAGCGAGCAAGACAAGCAAGGAAACAATTTCCGTAATTCCGGTGGCCACTCGAAGACGACGCTCGGGAACAACCGTTCGTGACCGTTCCAAAGCGATTGACAATAAATTGCCGCGGCACTGGCGTAACACGCGCAAGCAATTGTGGAACAAGAAAAAAATTATAGGACAGAAACAAAGAACAATATTGATACAAGGTCGTTCTGACGGATTGAGAGGAACGTTTACGAAACTGCAAACTACTTTGAGAACTTTGAAAATGGTGTCATAAAAATTCATGTGAGTTATTTCGAATCAGTGAGGAAATGATGGAGAGTTTAAGTTAGAGATCGCTTAAGACAAAGACGGCCGCCACTATTGCCTCTACCTCATACAGTGACTCATATGTTAATTGTTTACGAAAGGCTGTCATCTCTATTTTACCAAATTATTTACCAAAATGCGAATTTAATTTCACAACTAAGAAAAAATGGTTACAAAAGAAGGATGATAAAAGTAATGATAAGGAGAATATATAAATAGAAATTACATAAAAGTTTTGACACCTAATTGCTATTTCAAAAGCCTGTGAACGAATGCGTGAGTCACTGTATTACGAAGCATATTTTCAATACAATACACATTTTCAATATAAATGTGCTGACTATAGACTAATAACATAAGTTGGAGTAACTTTAACTCAGTCAGGGTACCTTCGACCCAAATCAGAAATGATCATTCACGATTTTGTAGCTTTGCAAATGGTTAAATTAAGTTAATTTCTGAATACCTGCAAAAAAGTTGCAAAATCAAAAATTATAATTTTGTGACTTTAGGGCAAAGTTATCTCTGACTGACTCAAAGTTACCCCAACTTACGGTATCTTCTTCGATATCAGTTATACATAATTAATAAATTACTTCTCCCTTCTGTATTAGAACAAACCATCAGGTCTAATTGAATTTTCGGGATTCTTCGTTAGTTATCAGAAAATAACCACCGCAGACCTACTAATCAAACAATATCGGAGTATCTTCGTTTACCAAAAAAATAATATTTGCAATCGAGTAGGCACGTTCGTCTTTCGATATTTTTTCCCAATTGTCCAAGGAAATAAATCACTTCTCGATTAATCAACTTTCCCCCGAGTGTCTATCGATAAACAATCCGCAGGAGTTTACGCAAGCTGTCGATTTCCGGTGGGCGAGAAAAAGGCAGGAACGTTTCTTTTTTTTGCCCCCGCGGAATACGGGAATGGTCGCCGCGCGGAAATTCCGCGGCTCCTTTTACCAGACGAAATTCCCATACGAGCGCGCGTGCACTTGCGGCTTACTACAAGGAATTCTCTCACGTTTCGCCGGTCACCGGTGATTTCCATTCTAAGAAACAATCGCGCACCCTCCCCCTGCCCCTGGACGGCCGGGAATACCCGGAAATCACCTGTCCCGCCATATTTCGCGCCGGCTGGAGACGCTAATCCCTCGGCTTAAGGCGATAATACTGCAGGTATACGACGGTGACGAACGACTCTGGGCGTAATCTCTTCGAATGAAAATCGTTTAAACGTTTTCTAAATGGTGCTCCGAAAGAAGAACAGGTCGTTTTCCTCGACCAGTGATTTCAATTTGGATCGTTCCACCTAATATTTGTCAATAGGACCGTGAAAAATATTGCGTCATTTATAGAACACCTAAATGTCTAACATTGAGTATAGTAAATTTGTTTGAGAAAGTTTCTTCAGGTTTTCTTTCGTATTTCGAATCTACCAAAACCCGTAACTAAATAAATTTTGGTTGCATTCAGTTGGGAGAAATTAGTTCATAACATTTTATATTTACATAAATATCCACAGTCTAGTTAAACACTGTAGAAAAATACTGCAGGTGTACGATGAGATTGTCAGAGTAAATCAGTACCGAAGAAAGTTCAAGAAATTTTGAGTAGGTCTTAATTACGGCTATAGTGTCGAGAGGCCCTAAGGACTACATGAAGACACTCTACGGTTTACTACTGAGCAAAATTAATAGATAGCCACACCGGTTGGCGCAGAAGTTAAAAATATACTGATCATTCACTACTGAATAAAGTTGTTTATTCTCATTAACATACCGGCATTACTTCTGGGATGACCCAATAATTTACTTTAATTAACTGAACTGATAGTGTAAGATCTAGTAAATTATCTCAGAGGATTGAAGTATACCTCATTTCTCGATTGCTATTAAGTGAACGTACTTAATAATTCAAAATTAAATTTCAAGACCATTTGCTTCAGTTTATTAAATTGTGTACTCGATTAGAAGACCCAATTTTTTTTTAAACAATTGAATTAAGTATCTGTAAATTACAAATGCAACTAGTAGTATTCTGAGTTGTTAGGGTTGCATAGATAATCGTCTGAGGGTAAAGATATACAGCTAACCGCAGGACTACGAACTTCCTTTTTCGATAAACGAGAGAGACTGCTCTTTGTGGTTTCGTCTAATTGGTTTACTGGGTAACACTATCAGCCGACCGCATGAAGCTTCATAGCTACACATGTGACATGTTAAATACGTGTTTCAGATCCTTTGATTGATAAAGAATCACGAAACGGAGTCGTATTGATTTTCTGATATCCCATCTAGGACTATTTTCAATGATTCTGTATTCAAAATTTTTTCAAGGAATACATTCATTAATTCGATCAGACTATCGATCACTCGTATACGTTTATCATAGTCATTGAAGAATATAATAGAATGGTCAACCCTTATACTGAAACATCAAATTCTGAAACCACCATTACTGCAATAACAATGCTTGAATAGCAACACTTATACATAGACTAATACTATCATATCAAGATGTTCAATAAAATATCAAAATTTACCCTCTGCACTAGAAGGGTTTGTTTACTCATATTACCAGCTACTCGAAGCAATTTCAATAAGAAGAACATATTTACATATACGTTCAAATATGCATAAAAAGAAGAGTTATACTCGCGTTTTGTCACAATGTAATGAACTGAGAAATTCTTTGCGTTGAAATAATGGCTCCGTAGCGGAGCCCTTGAGTCTGAAGAGAAATTTTAAATGTGACAGTAAAAGTTTGAAAAGTAACCAGTAGCAGAGACAATGAGAGAACGTTACCAAAATACCGAAATCTTTCGCCCAAGTTACAATCCGTTAATCACGGATGTTTCAGTTCACAGATTAACCATCGCTGCTTCACCCCGTCAGTTAAGCCTTAATTATCATAAGAAACGTGGTGTCGACTCACCGATAGTAGTCCTTCTTGCAGTAAATGTTTCCGTCCCGGCTGAAACAGGTGACTTCGCCGTCCAGTCCTTGACGGCAATGGGAGCACTGAAGACAGGCAGCGTGCCACCTCCTGTCCACTGCTTGCAGGTAGAACCTGTCGGATATCCGGAGGCCACATCCGGCGCAAACCACCCCCGGAACGTCCTCGGACTGCGCCGGCGGGGTGGGTGGTGGCTCCAGCTTCGGGATAGCGTGCAAATGCTCCGAGGTCTGCTGTTCTTGCGAATGACCCTGGGGATGCAGATGGGAGTGGTGGTGATGGTGGTGGTGGTGGTGGTGATGGTGGTGGGTCGTTTGGGGTGGCATGCTCAGGTCGCTTGGGTTCTCGAAGTTGCTGTTGTTGTTCCTGTACTCCTGTCCACCTGATCGATACACAAACACTTAATGAAATCGAGGCTCTTTTGCGTATCGAACTATCTAAACCGAGGAACATTACTATAAATCTACTGTCGCGTTAACAATATTAACGGTTTAGCTATTCAACTCTATTAGTCTCTAATACCAACAAATGAACTTCTAAATCTAAAACTACTTCTAAATCCTATATCCCATCAAATATCATGTCTCTCTGTTAGATCATTCTGACGAACATATTGGAAGAGTGAATAAGACTGCCCAAAACGTTATAAAATTATGTAATCTAATGTATTGAAGATCTTATCAGAACCTGTGGAATGATTGTCGAGCTCAAAGACGATGGATAGCCCACAACAGGGTGGGTACCCGTTCTGAAAACCTGAAGCAACCCACCTCCAGGAGAATCGTAGTCCCTAGAGTCGTAGGGGGTGGTGGGTCCGTCGTAGCAGTTGTTGTTCGTGCCACAGTGGGTCTGATGCAGGGGCGTATGATGGGGCCCGTGATGGTGGGCGGCAGGAGGACTGCACGGTAAGGTGGTGGGTCGTGCAGCGTCGCCCATCGACGCGGGGAGGCAGGGACTAAGGTCCCTCGCCTGGTCCACTGCTCCGGGCCCCCCCGCGCTGCCGGGCCCCCCTTGACGCCCCGCAGCCAAGCCGCTGCCACGCTCCTGCGAGCTGGCCGGCTGCTGGAACAAACACCGATGTCGAGGACTTTAGAAACTTTGAACACCTTGCGAACAAGCAACGGATAAGACAACCGTGTACAGATTCTTTTCGACGGTTGCCCAACGAGCTGATCGTCGTCGTTCAGCCAAACTGCCTTCGAAAACAATTGCATAACCCGAGACGAACGCTGCTGGCGAGAACGGAACGGTTGCACGGCAAGGTTCTACGAATTGCTGAGTAATCGCTGTCGATCGGTTCGAGTGTGTTTAAGTACATGTTTGGCGGCGGACGGCATCGGGTCGAGCCTCGTGGGATGATCTCCTTATGGGTCTACTTCAAAGTCATTCAGTCTTTATATTTCTTAAACAGAACGCGCTAAAGGTGTAGCACGAAGAAGAAAGAACGAATCGGATGCGTTAAGGTTCATTGATTCATCCCTAACGTAGCCAGATAAAATTCAACGAAGTCTACTTAGCATAGCTACCAAATGATACCTAAAGGAGTACCTTGTTCTAGCCGTCACCGGTTCAGTAACGATATCATAAAACCAACTTGAGAGAACCAGGCCCTTTTACCGTATCTACAGCCCGCTTGAAAATCGGATCAATTCGTTGGAAACACTTAAACCTGCAACTTTAAATGTCTATCCGGTGGCTGGGTGCCTGGAAGAAGTCACCTAGAACCGTGTCACCGACGAGAAAAAGTCGTCCGCGAGAAATCAACGACCAAAGAGAAACCCGCGGTGAAAGTGATCGCAGGAGCATCCAATTAAAGGTTCAAAGAGAAAAGAAGCCCCACGAGCTACCACGACAAAAGCCGTCCTGGGGGGAGAAAAAGAAGAGGACCAGCGTCAAGAGAACACCCGACCGCCCCCAGGAAAACCCGTAACCACCCGGCGGTGGGGAAAAAAAGCTCTCGGTCGGTAAAAGTAACCGGGGGAACTGGCCGAAGAAGGAGAAGACACTTTCCACCGAGAAGTGGACGAGGAGGATCCGCAAAGGACATATCGTCGGAAGACGTCGTCGGTGTTCGAGGATACCCAGCGCCGTCACGTCGTTGCGCTCGGTAACCTAGCCGGAATAGGCGAAATAGGACAACAACCTAGCACACGAAGAGGGCAGAAAGGGGAGAGGGGGACGGTAGCAGCCGAAGTGACAGCGGATTACGGCTCGGTTGACATCGGTAAAAGGGCAAGGGGGCTAGAGAAAAGGAGAAAGATAAAGAGTGGCATGCTGACGGTAGTAGCCGCTGGCCTCTGATGGATGTCGTAAGGCCGTAGCTGCGCGCATGCGCGCGACCCTATAAGGCGCCCGTGCCCGGACCAATCCGAGCTGCCGCCGTGTTTCAACTGTCAACGCGGCCGCTCGCGGCGTACCGCGGCGTTCTACGCTCGAGACATAAATTACGCGGCGGCGGCGAGCTGCCCTGGTCCTCTCTTTTCTCGTCCCTCTCTCCTTCCGCCTTCCTTTTTTTTTCTCCATCCTCCAGCCCGTTTCCCTCCCTTTCTAACCCTCTCGCGGGCTCTCCTTCCCCTCGCAAGAGACCCGTTCTTCGTTCATTTCCTTCCCGCCTCCCTTCGTAACCCCCCCCCCTTCCAGCCTGTGGAAAACCAATGCTGCAGTTTACGACAACCAGATACCAGGTATTTACTGCACCACGGCCGTAGCGGCGCGTTTGCTATTCGCCGGAAGGGCGGCTGACGCTCGTGGGCTCGTTGGACGTCGTAAAGATCACGGTGCTGACGAATTTAAAGGTGGATTCTCCATCGACTGGGGGAATTAATTGCCCCCCTCCCCCTATTCGGTGTGTTGAGGCTAGGGGATACTGGCAGGGCGGTTCGGTGCGTCTAGGGAATTCATTTGGCTGATCCAATTTATAGGGTTTACACGCGACGATTTACACTTTGGAAATTTTTGTGGATTATATTTGAATGAATCTTGAAATGATTATATTTTGGAAATGTTTCTGGTCACGTCAAAATTTAAAAACTTAAACGCCACAAAAAATCGATATTAGATCTATTTTAACAGTTTAAGAACTGTTTAATGTACAGGGTAGCTACTTCGTGGCGGGCGACTTTAGTCGCCTACAGTGTCGAAAGAGTTAGGTGGACATAATTCCCATTCGAAAAATCATTTCGTTTGTTCACTGCTAAATGTATTCGATTATTCCTCTACGTTGCACGATGAAAGACAGAGAAACACCCATTAAATAAAAAACAGAGTTGTCTAAGAAGATGATCTACGCGCGATAATTCGCGTTCTAATTGCCAACGTTCCTTTTACATCGACATCGATCCGTTTGAAGATGCAACGCTTCGTGGAAGGACGATCGAGCCCCGAGTGTATATAAAGATCGATGGGATTAAATCGGCTCGCGTTCCGCGCGATGGGAGAACTAACCAGAAATCCATCGACTTCTGCCGGGATTTTCACCACTCGATGTAACGGTTACGCGGCCGTTGTTTCTTATGTAATAAACCGAGGAGGGAACCGCGGAAAGAATCCCAGGAACGCGCGTTACCAAGTGTCCCGGGCAATGCTTCTGACGCGTGACCAATCGAGAACCTACGATCGCGTTCTCCATCGTGGATCCATTGATTAAGCTTCGATTGGAACTTTGATTGGCGGACTTTTTTGCGCGGCGTTTTATTCAAGGGGACACCCGCCGCAGTGGTGAACTCGATTCCACGGACAAATATGTATATGTAATTTTTGAACCAGTTCAGCCGTATGATAGAGGACATCTCTCGATGGTTGTACCTGCTACCGGAATTCATCTAGTTTCTTCGCGAAACGACAGTGAAAGCTAGTTCTTTATGTTTGTTATACTTTGTCTGGAATTTGACCGATATGGTAGAGGAATTTGTGATGTACGACATGTGTTACACATAAAAGAATGAATTAACACAATTGCTGGTTAGTGTTCTTTATAATAACTTCTAATGGTTTGGAATAAGTATACTTTTGCTCATGAGTTTTAGGACACTTGTCGAATATACAGTAAATGTTAGGAGGCATTACGAAATGGTTGAAAATTTGAAATACGGGGTACTAAAGCTCGATGGACAACGTTTATGGTACTACGGTGTAATAATCTTGACCTAAAGTGTATCAGTTTTACGAAACATCACATATTCATCTTACACACAAGGTATCTTAATATTTATGAGTAACATCTTTCAACTTGGAAAATGCAATAAAATAAAAATAAAGGTTTTAATAAAGCTTAATGGTATTGCTTGTTACTATTAACATAGTGAAGCCTGTAGCAGAGAATTCAAAATTTTGTCCATTTCAATTTTTAGGTATTAGTGTGTAAAATTTTGAATTTTCATTAACTTTCGCGTGTACTTATGAGTGATAGTGTACGTTTGGCATTCTAGATCCTCAAACATGGGGGATTATTACAAATGTTTCGTCTCATTCAAGTAGAATTAACTGAAAATATATCCATTTCGCCTCGATTCATCCGAAGGATGGTCATTCAGACCTTAGACTTTTCAAGCCATCAGACATTTCGATCCACCAAATAGGGATCTAGCAAACATCTTCCATTTACTGTTCCAGGCTTAATGTCATCATTAACCTCCAGCGAATTACACGAACAATGCACGCTTTTTCCAGCAGTCAGGCGCGTTTCTTAACACTCTATTGTGTCTGTAAGGTGCACTTGTACAGCCGAAGACGTTCCTGGGAGTCAAAGGGGCCAGGTCGGCGATTTTCTTTCGACGTATCTCAATGAAGATTTCCCAACCGTTTCTCGTATCGAAAGAAGCGCCGGCGACGAATGCAAATGGGGATTATATTTCTTTCTCGGGCGACTCGCGGCTGGAAACTATGCCTCGACTTTTTCTCCATTTGCACGCGTGTTTCTCACGAACCGCCGCGACCGTTTTTGCCGTCCTCCATTTTGGAGCCGCCGAGCACGCAGCGCCACACACGCCGTGCGAGAATTTCACAAACGGGAGGGAAATCGTACTCCTTATGCAAATCAAGAGTTAGGGTCTGTGACCCAGATATCTGGTTAGTTTCCGAAAAGGGAACAGAATTCTGAAGACGGAAACATTTGAGACACCGGAACTGCTTAAACAAATGGAAATAACGAGGTAATCTTCGTCTTTTTGTAAAAGTGAACATGTTCTTATTCTGTTCAAGACAGGGTAAGGTAAAAAAATTTTAATTTAACCCTTCTATGAAATGTGGGTCGTTGACGACTCGAACGAATTTCTATTTTCCCCAGGTTTTCCTTCGAATTATTATTTTTATCGACAAATGTTTTAAACGTTTGACATAACAAACGATTGTATAATGTGGTAAAGAGTTTGATAAGTATCACGGGATTTTTTGAGATTTTTGGAAAAGTTGAAATCGTAAAAAATCTAGACCTGGACACAAACAACCCAGTTTGACTGCGGAGGGTTAAATAATGCAAACTTCATGAAAGATTTTAGAGTATCGGGTGATTGTTTGCACCGATATAAACTATTGATCCCACAAACGTTATGGTTCATCGCTGAAAGTGCAGTTCACAGAGGCACGAACTCTTCCGAAATCGTGGTAGAACCGGAAAGCAGGTAAATCCTTGTGTAAATATATGTCGAAAATATACAATCACATTTTTCGTATAATACTTCGTTTCCAAAATAATCAATGTCCAAAATTCATCTAAGGCGTGTATGTACATATTCATAGTGACCCTAAGTAGAAACAGAATGCAATGAACAGACGCGTTAGCCAGGCCGATTCAATAATTGCACGTGTATCCAGCAAATTTTCAAATTCGATTCTCTCGCAAACGGAACATCGTACGAAAAAATGTTATTCCACATTTTCGACTTATTGTTGCATGTTGTATCACATTCTTGCAGATTACACTACCATTTCGGAAACACGATGTACACGACATAGCCTCTTAAAGGGTTAAAAGCTATATTGGGACCACGGAGTGTTAAACATACATTATTCTCCACCAAACATCCAAAGAATGTAATTCAGACCAAGCTTCATCTAAAATCAGT